TTCGCGTCGTACATCATGCTGTGATTATCGAGCTTTAGCCCTGATATAGTGGGGGCCACGACAGCATCCAAACTCGCGGCGCGGTAAGGGGTGGGTGGGGGAATTCTGGGAGTTGACGTCCACTCATCTTAAAGTGGCTAAGTTTGGACAACACTGACTTAATCCAAGGCTGATTAATAACATAGACTTCAATGAGAGCATACCCCTTTGGAACCTGGTTCTTAGGCTCTTAGTTCTTAGGCTTTATGGATCAGACATTATGTTGTTTTTGAGTGGAGCACTCAAGGTTATACATGTTTTTGAGGAAAAGATTTTGCCCAATGGCTACCTTAATTCCTAATTAAGGAATTCATTAGGAATCCTAACCTAATTCCTGTTGGAAAAATTAGAAATGGAATTCAGATTTCCTGACTTTCCTTTGGTTTCAGATGTGGTCTCGCTCCTATATCTACATACTCTCTGAAAACAGCCTGCAATACCCAGAATGGGATAACCTACAAATGATATGATGGAATATGATGCTGCAGGATAGCAGTAAATATGAAAGTGACAGAGTGCTTCAACTTGAACATGCTTATCTGTGGCCTAATTGCATAGGTAGCAGTGTTATAGCATGCTACCAGTCATTACATTCTGTTAATTTCAGCTGTTACTTAAAGTTGTATCTACAGTGTTCATTTCGATTTACTTGCTCATATGTGATATAATATGATCAGCACGTTACTTTTACTCACTGGTTTTGTGCATGGTTAGATCTGATACATTCATTTTCCTTAGCAAAATGCTAAGTCCTCTGTGAGATAGTATATCTTAGATGAACTTACGTTGAGATTCAATCATGTTACTGTTTCATGATAAACACGTTAACTATAAAAACATTGACAGGACCCTGAAGCCAAAAAAACAACAACAACCCATTTCAGCAACTTTTAAATACTGTACACTGTTTCTGCCTTGTAAGCACTGCTCCTGAATTCAGATGGAACTCTACCAAGCAAATTCATTTCGCTCCCCCTTTTTTTGCTAACATGCTTTATGGCCCTTTGGAGGCAATGTGAGGAAGAAAATTGGCGGGAACTAAGCTCAGAAATGGATCCAACTGACAGGAGGTGCTCAATTTGAACTGCACATCTTTCTCTTTTGTCAGATTGTTGGCTGTGATCATCAGCTGGGAAGCCCTGTGAAGGAAGATAACTGTGGGGTCTGCGATGGCGATGGTTCCACCTGCCGGCTTGTTCGAGGCCAATATAAATCTCAGCTCTTGGCAAATAAATGTAAGATGTTGACTTGACTTTTACCTCAGTGGGAATATGAACGTTCTCCAAACCATAATATGTAAAAAAAAAAAAAAAAAAGGAGTGCTAGGTCCTTAAATTTTTAGTAACAACCAAAGCTATCCTAAAAATGTTTTCTTGAACTTTCCTGGCCTCATCCTGGGAAATTAAACATAGTTAATTTCTGTATATTCCATCTTCCTCAAGAAAAGGATTGGAGCCTTCTGTTCTGGGAGCTGTTATATAGGTTTGCCAGATGTCACAAAGAATGCAGCCATTTTTCTTTACATATCAGAGGAAAACTCTACAGGTGAGACTGTTCATGCAGCATAATAGAAAAAAGCTGCACCTGCTGAATAATTTTTGCCTTATAGGTATATACAACCCTCATTGTGGTTGGAATCATGCCAACCATAGCGGACAATGGGGCAGGCCTATGCAGTCCTCAGTGCCCTGAAAAATAATGAGACAAAATTTATATGCTATGAAAGCATGCAAGGACTTGCAAAGCTGGAACATCCCAGAGTAATTGATTCATGGAATAGTGTAGCTGGGGCCAAACTACTGCATATTGTTAACCCGGGAACCTCTTTGAACTGCAGAGCCAGCCTGGGAGAAGATGATTTGCAGTTTATAGGGCTTGGGGAGGGGAAGGGATCTCAGCAATTCATCTGCTAGTAGTTCTTCCCTATGAAGTCATGTCCTCTGCTGGCTTGATTTAGACAGGTGATTGAGAGCTACATTTACCATGCAGAAGTGGTTCTGGAAGTGTGCAGGGGAAAAAGCAATTGCATTCTAGTCTTGTCCTTTTTCACTGCTGAATGCCTCTGCAAATCAGAAAGGGGCAATTTTTACATGTGGCTGCAAGATATCATGTAGCATGCTATTAAAGTTATACTTCATTTTTCATCCATTGTGGCAAAAGTGACTTCAAACTTTGCAGTATCTATACCTGCTCCAGATATGCGAGTATTTGTGTATGTGCATTTAACTGTATTCCGATTTTAAAGAGAAAATATTGTACATTACTTAAACATCTAAAATAGGATATGGAGTAGTCTTTGCTGAATATCTTGTTCCATCTATTTATGTTTGATTGTTGTGAGGAATGTTGAGAGTCTTTTGTTTAGAGAATCAACCTTGCTGTCAGACAGAATATTTTCTTGGCTAGAAAGTTCAAGATACACCTTCAGTTGTCAGATCAGCTTTTTGCATGTTATCTGTATTAAATGAACGAAAGTTCAGTGCAAATGCAAAAACAACCTTCCCAAACAGGTGTTCTCTAAATGAATTGGATTTCAACTCCAATTATTCCCAACCAACATAATCAAAGGCAGCAGTCACAAATGCTGAGATAGAGGAATAATTGAGAAACTAATTTGCATTCTTGGCCATTATTGTGCCAAGAGGGAAAAATTACCATAGACTGTGTGGCTTACTGTATACTGCTGAATCTATGCTGGAGAAAACAAAATAACATTTCCACCAAGTGATAATGCTTACTGTAGATCAATTCCAGTACCCCTCATCATAACCTACTGTACAGGCAGCCAGCAGGTTAAGAACAAGTTCCATTCCTAAGTCTGTCTGTAATTCGAATTTGAATATAGGTCGGAACTTGTACTTACAGGCTGCCTATTACTAAAAACATCAGACAGCATTCACCTTCCTTGAGCCGACGAACCGCTGAAGCCGTGCAATGTTTTCATAAACCACTGAAAACAGGCTGTATATTAAAAACACGCAGCTTCAGTGGTTCATGAAAACATTGCTCAGCTTCAACGGTTCATCAGCTCAAAGAAGGAGAATGCCGACTGCCATTTTTAGTAATAGGCAGCCCATTCGTAAGTATGAGTTGTCCGTAAGTCAGACATTCTTAACCCGGGGACTGCCTGTATTTGCAAGGTTGCAAATAAGATAGCACGGGCAGAAGTATTTATAATGGCTTGAACTGCTTGGACAAAGGCAGGTTTGAAATGTAATAAGTAAAGCAATAATTCTTTTTCAGATCCTTTCCTTGAACAGAAAGCTTTTTAAAATACAGAAATGACTACTGATTACAGTGATAGCTGAGGTACAACTAGATATCTGGCTCTTTTTCATAATTACTCCTTCTTTATTTTCCTCTTTTTGTCTCCATTTATGTTTCCTGGTTATATTTAGATATTTTCATTGTTTTACTGCTCCCAATTTTTAGCTCTATCCTTCCTGCTTCTCATGCCTTGTTCCTCATGTTTTTGTCAATTCTTAAATGCATCATAGAGATATAATTTGCCTTGACACTGGAAAACTAAAGAACAGTTCACTTCATAGGCATCCATAGGGGGGAGTCAAGGGAGGAAAAATGATAACATTAGTGTCAGGATGTCATTGTGATAATGTATTTTGCATCAGATATCCCAGTGCAATTCACACCAGTTCCATGGTTGCATCAGTTGTATGATCATGATGCATATGCCATCATTTTGAGTTCATTGTGGATTGTAAGAGATACCTATGATATATTTTAGCTTAGATCTTTAGCTTTCCAGAATGATCCTCATGGGAAGAAGGCTTCAGCTGCCCTTTTGATTAATCAACAAAGGAACCGGTGCCATTATGTCCCCCTGTGAGTAATTTCCATGGGTCTGGAGATGTGAAGAGCCTCAATTAAACTATTGCTTAAGCAAGAATGTCTGAAAGTGAAGCTCAATCTAGACTTAGTGGGATATAAATACTAGACCATACTCATTGCTTGTTTTCACCTCAATGAAATTATTTCCCTCTGGTTTCCCTTTTTTTCCTCCACTCCTCTTTCTTTGTATCTGGTTGCTTTTGTTTTGTTTTTGTTTTACTTTGCAAACCTCAAGGCAAAACCCATCTCTTTTTTAATTGATGCAAATGTCTTTGAGGACAGCCATTGTTCAAGAAGCAGAGTAATAAACAAATAAATAGGAGGAGCTCTTGATAGAGAGCTAGATCGATTATGCAGAAATGGTTGGGCAGCAGAAGAAAGGCTACCAGAATCTTGTGAGAAACACGTCAGCCACAAAGAAGCAAAGGATATAGTGCTTTGACCCTGTGCATTTTGAGCTTTGGATATTTTTATGTTCATTGGCAGCCCTAATCACTTTTTAACTAACGAAAACCAACTCTCCAGGGTTGTAGGTGGGAGTTTCTCACTCCTAGCAGTTCTAGGTGAGCAAGTGTCCATAAAATGGACAGCAGTAAGACGAAAGAGATTGGCCTAGTTAAGAGCTAAGTAACTTAGGGGTTTTTTTTAGATTTTTTTATCCCACCTTTATTATTTTTATAAATAACTCAAGGTGGTAAACATACCTAATACTCCTTCCTCCTCCTATTTTCCCCACAACAACAACTCTGTGAGGTGAGTTGGGCTGAGAGAGAATGACTGGCCCAAATCACCCAACTGGCTTTCATGCCTAAAAAGGACTAGACCTCATGGTCTCCTGCTTTCTAGCCTGGTGCCTTAACCACTAGACCAAACTGGCTCTCTTTTCCACTTTCCCACTAAAAATTCTACAGATTTTCCACTAAGAAATTTTCCCAACGAGCGATTATACGTTATCCAGCCCCTTTTAATGCAGTAAATAATGCATTTGAATTACTATTGAAAGTCTGAATCTTCCCTGCTATCCTGACATTTGCACCAGTATGTTATGATTACTTCAGTGAGTGATGATTGTTTGGATGTATCTTGACCAAGCCAACAAATAATTTCAGGTGTGCTTTCTTTTAAATTAATTGGTTATTTAAATTAAATTTGGTTAAATTTAAATTAAATAACCAATTAATGGCTATTCTTGCTTCATGTCTTCAGATTCCTCCCCTGTTGCATCTCAGCATGCAGAGCTGCTAGTACTAACAAAAAAAAAGACAAGGAAAAAAAAACTTTATAGTGGCTTGCTTCCCATTTGTTCACTGTAAATATTACAAAAATCCTTTGGAAGCTAACTGAGTAATCAGATGGGTGTCTGACTGCATGAACTGTAAGGGAGAAATATTTAGGACATGGCTGGGGATGGGCAATGGAGAGGAAGTATGAACAAATGCATGTTTGAGCTCATGGATTATATGCAGGAACCCAACTGGATATTTCAAAATTGTTCTCTGAGTGATGCGGTAGTCATGGTGGTAGGGAGAAAAATTCAATTGAACAAATGCCTCAGTGAGTTAACTCTGTAAAAGTCAGAAAAGTATATATAAGAAAGACTTGTGGAGGAAATGAAACTTGAGGTGTGAAGAGAGCACTTCCCTAGAAGAATATCACAGAAAGATTACCTTCCAGGAATAATGAAGCATTCTGTAATATTCAGATGCGGTTGTGCAATTGGAGTTGATTTCTGACTAAAATTAAAATCAGAGTTTTACAGCGCAGGAAGTCATGGAGGAAACTCTTTAAAATATTAAGCCACATTGTGGTTGACGTGGGCATCATCTGGAAATGAGTACACATTTTGTGTAAATGGAGCATTCTAGTGTCACAGTAAAAATGTTTTCCTCATGCTTGGTTTGAGTTTGGAGGATATGTGCTCTGAGGTTATAAACTGAATCAATCAATCAGTCAATCAATTACTATGCTATGTAGGAATGTTTTAAAAGAAAGAAAAGGATAAGAAATATTTTTCTCCCTGGAATACAGCAATGTAATAGAGATTTGGGAGTTTTCTAGAACTAAATAGCATAGTAGGAAAAGAAGCCCAGGGCAAAGGAGATGGTGAAGAAAAATTATTCTCTCTTCCCTTCTCTTTCATCAAGATCCCCCGGTGACTCTTGGAAAGAGTGAAACAGTACTACAAGTTTTTGTTTTAGATTGGTTGGGCATGAGAGTATTTATGCGGTGTAGGCATAAAACTGCAGTGTTGTCCGGAAGGCCTCATTTTGTGTAAAAGAATTGCCCACATGGCAATATATTACCCAGTATGGCTTAGTACTATATTTTAAAGATGTTTTTAAAATATTTTGTCTATGCATAATTTCTTTCTTAGATAACCTACACAGTTGTACAGATCTTTTCCTAGACAAGTCACAACACACAGCTTTCTGGGGACTGAAGCATTTTTACTTTCATTTGTAATTTTTCCTTTCCTTTAATTTTTGCCTGGAAAGGAACATCTGTTAAGCAGGTAGCAGGAAAATATCAGAAGCATCTTGCCACACTTAAGGGATTCAGCTTTTTAGCACTTTGAATTAGCAGCTTCTGTGACAAAAAAATATGCTGGAAATGTTTTTCTTTTTAGACATTCCAAACACACTGTTGGGTTCATCATATTGAATTCATTTTCTCTTTGTATCTGCATTTATTTTGTCCTCCTGCTTTGTGTCCATTGCTGAGGAAAAGATAGGAAAGAGGAGGAACAGGAAAACTGTATGGAACATTGCAACTATTCGCCTTTATAATGGAAATAACTGTCTTAGTATTCATAGGGCTGGTATATCAATCCCGGAGGGGCTGGAAACAGAAGAGCAGTGGGGTGGGAGAAGATATGTGTCTCTGACTTCCCTCCTACACTCTTCTAAAGGGGAAACATCTGGTTGGTGTCCCCTTTTTGCCTATAAAAATGAAAGATTACTTGAAAAGTTCGGCAGTTCAACAATTGAGGGTCCTTCTCTACATCCCCATTTTTATTAGGCCTCCTTATAGAACGAATCTGTTTTTTACCGCAGGAACAAGCTAGTTCAGAAGCTCTGCTGAATAAAGAGCCTTTTCTTCAACAAGCCCAAATCTGTCCCAGCCACTTGGAGCAGCCTCTGGGAGATGGCGTCATTTTCTGGGGCACATAGAAGAAATGTTCCTGCAGTATTCAGCAGGGTCAAATCCAAGCAGGTGACACCAGTGGAAATCTTTCCAAAAGTGGCAACCAAGGCCAGGATCTGGGTATTGAGGAAGGAACTTCAGACACAGCTGGTTTTGTATCATAGAGAGCTTGAAATGAGTGATTTAGCCAAGAATATGTTCCATTCTCAGGAAGTCTAGTTTTGGGAATTAACTACTGTGGTGCTTTCTAGAACTGTGATATATTTGGCTGGTGTGGTGTGATAAGTGAAAACAGCCACTGTGGTTCAACCATAGATTATGATTTAATAGGATGCATGTATCATGTCCAGCCGTTGCACGTTTGCTTTGAGTTTAGCTTGTTGTATAAACTCAACTATTAAGGCTTGTGAACAATACGTTATTCCTTAATGTCAATGTGTAAACTCAGCTAATAGTGGTTAATTCCACAATCGTAGTTAAAGCAAACCATAGCTCAATGCACCATGTAAACTCAAGGAATGAGACATTCATGTTTACTCAGAAGCACATCCCAATATGTTCAGTGGAATTTATTCTCATATAAGAGTTCATAGAACAGCTAAAATTCACCTAGCTCTGAGGCTAAAAAGCAGAAGGCTGAATATCCATGAAACTGTGGGAAAGTTGGGGAAAAAAAGAACCAGATTTCATCTGCAGCAGCCATTGGAGAAGACTACACTCTCATGTTAATAGAGGGCAATCAACTCCTTAAAGTGGTTCCATCCATGCATACCATAAAGATTCTTATCTAGCAGTGCCCTATCTAGTTTCTGAGCAGCTTCTGCTGAGTTTGAGTTGGGGAGCATGGGTCTGTGTCAATTTATTACATATTGCTGAGCCAAAATCACTTACAGGCAATCAGGGGGCTAAAAAGTGATGTTACTGCTAATGTCAAACTTTAGGACAGTTTAGACAATAACATGACTCAACACACTGGACATAGCAGTGTGGCTCTATCAGCTTGGCTTTGAAAGTGGCATTGGAACTCTCCTCTTGGCTTTGGTGGAATTGAGCATTCCAAGACAAAGTAAGATTTCAGCAGAATTTTCAGGGTCTTTTCCATATCACAGAGTGAAGGAAGATCAGAAGCCCCTTGTGGCAATGTTGAGCTCACTGGAAATTATAAAGAAAGTTAACAAAGAAAAGTTGTGGTGTTTGTATTTCAGATGACCTGGAGATAAACACAGACTTTCTACTTTCACAAGTCTCATTCCATTAAGTTCTATTAACCTATTTTTATATTAGAAAGACAGAAAAGGTCTTGCTAACTCATTTTAATATTTGAAAATGGAAAAACATACTTGCAAAAAAAAAAAGTACTCTAAAAGGGCATTTCTGTCAGTTTGTGAGATTATGATAACAGTTTAGAGTGTGAGTATGATTGGCTCTGAGTAAAATAAATACAAAAATGAACTGGCTTCCAGCAAATATTCTTACATCATTATTTTAAATCAGTTTGAAAGATGAAACGATTGAAGGTAGAATTGTGTTGAAAGGAAAGTTGAGTTCACACCAACCACCGCCAGAAAGCTGGTTATTTGAAATGAATAAAATTAATAATAAATACAGTAAATAAATAAATAAATGAAATTAAAATTTACATTTTTTTCTGGCTATTTCAGAGTTGGCCACTGATCATACAACATCTGTGTTTATGACAAACCATTTATAGAGTATGTGAGTGTTGCTGAGAATATAAAGACAATTAAACCAAAGACCTAATTTATTCAGAAACATGTGTCCCCCATTGGTCAGTCAGGTGGCCTAGGAGGCTCACAAGCAGCATATGAGGAGCATGGTCCTTGAAGTAAGATATACTTGTCAAAACGAATGGTTGTCAAGTCAGAGGTCATCCTTACATACTGTGAAAGCTAATTGTATTGTTCAACTGTGCACTGTGTGAAAAACGTCTTCCTTTTATGTATCCTGAGTTTTTCATTATTACATTTCATTGGGGACCCTGCAAGGAGGAGGGGGAAAAGCTACCTTCCTACTCTCTCACACCAAACTTTGATTTCTATTATTTATTAATTAGACTTTATCACTCAACTGACAAGATCTCTTGACAGTTTATTAATGCACATCTGTCACTTGTTTCCTATTTGTAACTTTCTATAACCCTATAGTTATTAGAGGTATTTTTTTTCTGGGTATGGTGACTAAGCTGTTCTTGGTATTTTACATCTGATGGCACTAGAGATGTGTATCAAGACAGTACATTAGCAGTTTTGTTTTTGACTCAAGTGTGCAATTAAATATTAGAAAAAGCACATGGAGATCCATAAACACACACACAAATGTTTAATACTATTAAGTATTCTATGACTGCATTGAACTCCCAATGCCTCAGGGTACATAGGGCCTAAGTGCTAATAAACACCGAGGCATAAACAAGGGGAATGTTAGGAACCAAATAGCTTTTTTAACTTCTCTTTTTCCTTTTCCTTTTCCTTTTCCTTTCCTTTCCTTTTGTTCTTTTTTCTTTTTTCTAATAGGCACAAACAATATTAAATAACAATACAGGAGAGACCTTAGTATTAAGATAGAAATGTTTATTATATAATAATTCAAGCATTTTGCAGTTTATCAAGCTACACTCAGCTCTAAATGTACATGTTAAGCAACCTTATGCTTATCAACAGTAACATTTTAGAAAACATAGTTAATATTGATATAACCCCCTTTGTATTTCTCTTTAAAAGTTTAAGTTATCTAAATCATGAGAGTGTTAATCATCTTTAGTCAACATCACATAAATACCACTGCACCCAAATATTATAATGTACTGTTTGTGTTTTATAATAATACAATAAAACTTTAAAAAAAGGTTTTGAACTGGGATGAATGAGTAATGGGTGGACATTTTAAATCTGTATTTTGATTTCCAATCTGGAAATGTCCTAAGGGCTATGTTTCTGCAATATTTGCCCCTTTGCATGTCAATGTGATGCACCATTCTTCAGTGGAGTAGCTAGAACCTTGCAAACTGGCCCAACAGTTCATGGCATTTGGGGCATTTTTAATTAAAAAATATATTTTGGTATCTGAATCATTGTGCAAAATTGCACAATAGGATCTACAATCTGAAAAGGCTGCTAATCCCTGTACCACAACATTATTTTCCTCTTTTCCCTCTGGTACTTACTGTATGTGCACTGAGCGTTTTCAATTCTCCTGCAGCGAAAAGTTCTTTTTGTAGATCTGCTGTATATGAGGAATCCTTCCATCTTCTCCCTACTCATCTCCACATCATCTCAGTAACATCATCCATCATTTTTCTTCCTATCATCATAGCAAATACTTCACTTTTGCCATAGAAAATAATTCTGAAATTCGATTA